TCTCATCTCCAGGTCTATGGAATATGGTTGAACTCAGCCCATTTCTTCATTGCTGCCTTTCCCCCCTTCCACTCACCAGTAGACCAATGTGGTTGTCAGCAAGCTTACATGCCTACTCACGTGTTCCCTTTGAGTTTCAGTCTTAGAGGGGAGTTTGTCCTCAAGGAACTTGATTGCTAGCCTTGATGGCTTCCTGGTGAACAGCTTGCATTTTTGTTTTGGATTTTTCCTGATGATCTTTCTTTGAAGCTGTATCTTCTGTCGTTCTAGCTGTTCCAGGCTGGTTTGCTTGTCCTTTCTAGTGGGAATGTCCTACCTCAGAAGGTTCTGGATGGGGCCCAGGATTCCACCTAACGTCCTATAGACTGCAAAGGCTCTGCAAGAGGCCTATTTCACTGGGCAAGTTCTAGAACCCCTTTTAGGTATTCCATTCAGTTATAGGCTGAAGATGGGCTTATAAGCTTTCTGTAATCATGTTTCCTGACATTCCTTTCTAATCTAATCAAGTGTGTATTTTCCAATAGTAGACAAGGGAGACCAATATTCATAAGACAGTCAAGCATCTTAGTATTATTTCCCCTCTTCAGACTATACGTAGATCCCTGTATCCCAGAGCCCTGGTGTTCCAAGGTTGAGCACGCATCTCTATTTACATCTGTCCCATTTAGCCCATGCAAACCTGCCTTCATGTTCCCCTATCTACCTTGTTCTTCCACCTCCTCCTCCTTCTTGTATACTGCTCTCCCCAACGAGGATCACACATTTTTAACATGCAGTACATTTATGGTCATGCAGTGCTGAGTATTTTTTACTTTTCATTATGATTTCATTTGGGCCCAGGAGTTGCTTAGAAGTGTCTTTGCAAGTTCGACACACAGGTGTGTTCCTCTGGTTTTCTGTGAGTAATTATTTCTAACCGATTTACATTCCCGCCAGAGAGTATACTGGATCGTCCTGGTTCTCTGAACACGATGCTCACCTGGGCCCGCTTTGGGGGAAGCTGGATGGGACTCTGGTCCCGTGCTCCTCCAGGGACTACCACTGCATCAGGGAGATGAGATAGAGCCTTAAAAAGCCTCCAGCCCCAGATACTGTAAGTCCGGCAACGGCCGCCTCCCCAGAGAGCACTGTGGCCTGAGAAGACTGGCCAGGGAGGCAGCTGAGCGCTGGGAATGGCCTCTGGGCTGGGCAGTGGGCTCAGAAGAGGCCCCTTCTGTGTTAGGTCTCCTGTGTGCAGAAGGGGCCACTATTATCAGAACTGCTCATCCACTTGCTGAGAAGTTGGCAGTTCAAACCCTCCCAGAGGCAACTGGGAAGACAGACCTGGCAATCTTCTGAAAGGTCGCAGCCTTGAAGACCCCGCGGAGCAGTTGCCCTCTGCACATGTGTGGTCGAGGTTGTGGTTAGTTGAAATCTACTTGGCAGCAGGGTTTTCTTTTGTTTTGTTTTTTGTGAGCCAAGCGGTTTACATGGTGACTCAGATCGTCTTGGTGACGCTGTTGGTGATGATGTAGAGCTTCATTTCAGGGTCTCTCTTCATCACCTGCACACGCAGTAGAAAGCACGCTGGCAGGTTGGTCTCCAGCGCAGTGGGCTACGCCTCTGAACAGATGGGAGCGCGTGGCACCCATGTCCCCCTGGAGAGCAACAGGAAATGCCACCCTGGCCTGTGATGGAGGCTGGAAGTGGAGCTGCGTCCTTGCTCCTGAGAGCAGCCGCACAGGATGGAGTCAGGCAGACCCCAGCTTTCGGGTGGGATCTGTTCCAGTGGGAACGGGTGCACAGCATTTGTATTTTAGTACCAGAATGAGCCCTGGTGGCGCTGTCAGGTAAACATTGGGCCGCTCACTGCAAGGTCAGCAGTTCAAATCCACCAGTGGCTGTGTGAGAGACAATGAGGCTGTGTGCTCCTTAAAGATTTCCAGTTGCGTAAACCCTAAGCGGGGTGGCAGAGTCAGAACGACATGACCGCAGTGGGTTTGCTTCAGTGCACGAGGGAGTCCTGGTGGCTCAGGATGCCAAGCTAAGCAGTAGGCTGCTAACCAGAGGCTGGTGGTTCAAGCCCACCAGCTGCCCTGAGGGAGAAAGGGGAGGCAGCGTCCTTCTGGAAAGATTTGCAGACTCTAAAGCTTGTGGAGCAGCCCTGCCCTGGCCCACGGGCTGTGAGTCTGCAGCCACTCAACACTAAGGGCTTTGGGTTTTAGTGAACACAAAGCTCGGAGCATTTTCAGTGATTTAAAAGCTGCCCTGCAGCAAGTGACAGAGTCTGTGATGGATTTGTTGTGAGTCGGAGTTGGTTCCAACATGTCAGTGTGAGGGCAAATTCACGTACCCATAAGGGCAGCTAGGAGCCGTCCCTAAGTCAGACATTGGTAGCTGGGAGCCCTCTCCTCACACCTGCTGGGCTGGCCAGGTGCAGGTGGTCCCTGGGGGAGGGGGGGCGTTGGCGGTCTGCTTGCTTGTCCAGCACCGTCAATAATTCCTGGCCCTATCCTGCCCACCTGAGCAGGGTGTGAGTGGCACCAGTAGGGGAGTGATGGTGGAAGTCCCTCCATGCCATCATGTCCCTCAGAGGCACGCAGGGCACAGGCTGACCAGGGCACCATCTGTCAGTTTTAGAATGGAGGGCCTCTCATAGAGCCACGTTGTTGCCTGGGCTGACACGGCAGCATCCACCACCCCGCCCCGACACCACCTGGTGTCTCCTCTGGGAGGGACCCTGGGGAGGAGGAGACAGACATGGGACAGGCACAGGGCATCTTGTGCACACTCGGGGTCCCGTGGAGTCTAAGGCACACCTCGACTCCAGAGTGTTTTCATAAGGTGTGTCTCAGGATGGACGATTTCTGACAAATGTGCCCAAGAATGTGCTTCACGATCAGCACGGGAACAAAGATGCAGTCTCCCGGGCCTGGGGGATCCACACGTGTGGAGAGTGGTGGTCCCACTGCCTATGTGTACACTAAGGCTTTCATAAAGTCATAAAGTACATCAAACCATCACATGCGTGGGGCTGCGAAAGTCTGGAATCCCTGTGAAAGTCTCCACACTCATCTTCTCCAACTCTGTACAAGGCAGGTAGCGCCTGTCCAGCCTGGTGGAGTCACAGAGTGGCCTTGCTTGGAGACACCCCTGGGTAGCTGAGCTCAGAGAGAGGTCCCAGAGGACGTGGAGACTTTTGGCCTTGGTGCTAGCAGGCAGAGAAAAGGGGGTATTCTGAGGTCAAGCAGGCAGCAGGGTGGGTGTCTTGGAAGAGGTTTCCCGGGCCCTGCTGTCCACCACACTATGGCTGGTGGGAATAACAGTGGTTGTCCTTGCTGTCCTAGAGTGCTCTAAATGCTGGACCGAGTACGGAATCCGTCACTTTCCCTGCCCGTCACCAGAGCGCAGCGCACAGGACCCCCAAGTGGGGAAGGATGGGGCAGGCCACCTGGGGCCAGTGGCGGGCACACCCAGAGGCCCAAGGGCCCGGAAGCGAGGTACTTCCCCTTGGATGCTGGGCTGGGGTCCCAGGAAGCTCCCCAGAAGCCAGGGTTCAGGCAGGTGTCTTGGTAGCATTGAGCTCAGAGGGGATAGGGTGTGGGCCCACGGGCAGTACAGAGGTACAGTGTGATTGCCCCGGCTTTGAGTTTTGTGGGTACTGAGGGTGGAGACGCAGGTGGGAGTGAGGGGCTGTACCCAGGCTGGGTGGTGCATCAGGTCTGTGCCACAGAGCTGGGGTCTCCCTTCAGGGCTGAGTGAAGGTGCACTGACAGGTCTCCCAGCTGGGTGACAACATGCGCCGGCAGGGGGCTGCAGGGGGGATGACTGAGTTGTTACTCTTGAGCACACCTTTCTGGGTGGGGCACAATTATGACCTGCTGGCCAGGCCCTTCTGTAGGGAATGACAGTGTCCTTGCCCTCTGGAGTCCCAAATCAGTGGGAGACCAGACCTGTGTTTTGAAACCCCTGGTCGGTGGGGGCCAGCCTTTCGTGGTGTGGAATGAGGGGTTCTGCCTGGCCCCTGCCTGCAGGAGGAAGGGCACCTGGTCAAGGGCCTGGATCATGTACTGGGAGCAGAGAGGGGCTGGGGCTGGCAGTGACTCTGTCTGTCTGTCTGGGAGGCTGAGGAGAAGTGCTTGTAGGATTGTCTTGGGCTAGGCAGGGCTGGGCTGCATCCTTAGCGCCCCCTGGAGGTCCTGATGATGGAGTGTTCAGCCAGCCGCAAGGAGGGCGGGCTGGGAGGGCAGCAGCATTCGGACACACAAGCCACACGGAGACACCGTGACCACCGGAGCAGCCGCCCCCATCGGCCGGACCCTCTCAACACCCGCGTTTTGGTGCCGTTCCAGGGCCGGGGGTCACTCCCGAAGGTAGCTGGACGCCGGAGCCCACCACTGCCGCTGGGCCCCTGGGCCGCATGGCAGGGCCCTGTGCTGTCCGGGCCAAGAAGAGGAAGCCCAACTTCTGCCCGCAGGAGACGGAGGTCCTGGTGGCCAAGGTCAGCAAACACCACCAGCTGCTGTTCGGCACCGGGCTGCACAAGGTCGAGCCAGCGCGCAAGTACCGCGTGTGGAGCCGCATCCTGCAGGCTGTCAATGCGCTGGGTTACTGCCGCCGCGACGTCGTCGACCTCAAGCACAAGTGGAGGGACCTGCGGGCCGTGGTGCGGCGCAAGCTGGCCGAGGTGCGCACGGCGGCCCCGGGGCCCAGCACCCTGACCCTCACGCCCGTGGAGCAGGTTGTGGCCAAGACCTTCTCCTGCCAGGCGCATGAGGGCTCCGGCCTGGAGCCACCCGGAGGTGAGTTCCGGCCAGGCTGGGCCATGGGGCCAGCTCCCTCAGCTACTATCCTCTTCCACCTTCTCCTTGTCCACTGGGACTGCCGCCTCTCCCTCTTCCCTCCCCTTCCTCCTCTCTCTTCCCCTCCCTCCCCCTTCTCTTCTTTTCCTTCCCTCTCCTCCCTTCCCTCCCCTTCCTCCTCTTCCCTTCCCTCTCCCTCTCTCTCCTTTTCTTCCTTTCCTTCCTCCCTCTTTCTCTCCCTCTTCCTTCTCTCCCTCTCCTTCCTTCTCCTTTATCTCACCTCCCTCCTCCTCCTCTTTTCTTCCTTCCTTCTCTTCCTCCTCCCCTCCCTCTTCCTCTTTTCCCTCCTTTTCCTCTCTCCCCCTCTCCTTTCTATTCCTTCTCTCCCTCTGTTCTTCCTCTTCCCTCTTCCCCACCCTTCTCGTCAGCACCACCACAGCCATTTTCGGCATCAATTTTCTCCTCCCATCATCCGTCCATCCATTCCTGCACCCAGGGAACAGGTTTCAAGTCCTAAGGGAGCTTTAGTAGAAAGTGTTCACTTCCTGCTTAGCTCTCGCCTTAGCCCTGCTTCCATCCCAGAACCGAGAGCTGAGCCCACACAGATGAATGAGAGGCATTCTGCTCCGAGGCCATTGGATCACCCTTGGGGACTAGAACTTGTAGTGTGGCAGCTGTGTACTGTTGCCACACACTCTGTACGCACGATGGCGCCTCCCCTCACTGGCCCTCTCCTGCCGTGCCCGCTTCCTAGAAAAGTGCCCATTGTGACACGTCGTACCTCTGACTTGGGTTTCAGCCTGTGGTTGGACACATCTGCCTGAAGTGACCTCACAGCAGTGCATTAACCCTGGAGGGTCGAGACAGATATTGGGGCCGTTTGGCGTGGCCTCTGAGGCTCAGGCAGAGCCATCTGTCCAGGCGAGTATCTCGGCGGGACTCTGTCCTCTCGACCAAGACCCTCTGAAAACTGGGGGCTCAGACAGCGTTGCAGCCCATGGACACCACTCTGGGTCTGGAGCATTCCTCTCCCAAGTCACTGCAGCAGCCCCCCTCCCCACCTCTCCCTGTGCTGGGCCCCTGAGAGCACGAGCTATGGCAGATCAGACCCAGAGCTGCTCAGGACATCTGTGAGGAGGACGAGGGCAGGCATGGAGCTGGCCTGGGCTGGGGTGGGTTGGCCCCTAAGTGTGGTATAGAGGTAGGTGACCATTCCTTTTGGGCAGAGTCGGGGTGCGGCCCTTGGGGTAGAATCTCGTCTTGGACCCGACACCCCTTTCTGCTCTGTGTGAGGCAGGGCTATGTGTCCTAAAGGCAGCAGCAGTGTGGCTGCATGCTGCTAGCAGGTCCCACAGCTCCAGCATTGTGCCTGGGCAGTGAGGAGGGACATCAGGGTCATGGGGCCACTACGCGTGGGACATTAGTGGGACTGTAGGTTCAGGACGTTTCTAAGCCTTCCCTGTGTGCTGGCTGGGGGTGCCGTGGGTCCCAGACTGAGAACAGTGTCCTGCCTCCATCCCCAGGCCGGGCTCTCACTGTGCCTCCTGCCCTAGAACTGAGTCAGGAACCTGGTCCTCCAGTGTGGCTCCATGTTCCAGAGGACGAGAGGGCTGGGTGGTCAGAGAGGCCAGGCTGTGTGGTGCCAGGGTCGGGGTCCTTCTGGCAGTGGTGCAGCGGACAGGGGCAGACCAGGCACATTGCGTTTCTGAGGGGCGGTCCCTGTGCTGAAGGGCTTCTGAGCAGTGGTCCCTGCGTTAACTGTGGCTGTGTGACTCAGTGACCCGCTTGCTTTAGCCCGGTGACCTCAGCTCTCTGTGACCTCTGGATTTAGTGGGGGCCGCTGAGTAAAGCAGACTGGGAATCTGGCCTCGTGACTGTGTGCTTTGAAACCTTCATCCTCCTTTCCACAGCCGGCAGGTGATGCAGGGGGTGCACACTGATGGGGGCCCAGCGGCAGAGTGGAGCCTGCCTTTTTGTGGTCATTTTAGAAGGCCCATTATTGTGCTCACAGCGGGAGCGAGGGAAGAGGCACAGTGAGCTCCACCGATTTCTTCTACTGTCTCCCAATTTGCAGTCACTTGGGGTCCTGAAGCTAGAATCTGAGAAATGAGATTTCCTCCCTGCTCTTGGGCAGGACTTGGGCTCCTCAGGATGCATGTCCAGAGTGGGGGTCTGCTGCTGGAGGGGGGGGGGAATCTCTGGTGTGCCTCTGAGTGTCACTGTGGTCTGTGAGACCTGTTTCCCCTTCCAGCCTGGGAGCTCCCCGAGTGGGCCTGTGCCTCTTTCCTAGCTCCAGATTTGCTGACCCCAGTGTGTGGTGACTATTTGACCCCTGGGTGCTGTGGGAAAGGACAGGCTGTATTTGTGCAGAGCAAACTGCTGACTTCAGGGACCTTGTTAGTGACCTGGAGTTATGGTACTCCGCCACCCCTCAGGAGAACTGTGTTCATGGCATGTGGTGCTGGCCCCTTTGCTGTGGGATGAGGAACGCAAGTGACCACAAGGGATGGAGGAGGAGGGCAGGAGAGCACATGCCTGGTCCCAGGACAGGACAGAGTGACCACGACCCTGTGATGGGCACCTGGGCCAGTCAGACCCTGGTCTGAGAACTAGGAGGTGAAAGGTGGTCAGCCCTGTCCCTGTGCCCAGAAAGAGCACCCTGACTATGGTACCCTGATGGGCAGGGCCGGAGCTGAGTCAGGAGGCTGCCCACAGCCTGATGAGAGAGCCTGGTGCTGGGGAGGCGTGGCTGGGTAGGTGAGCAGGCAGGGGACGCTCTGGGTGTGGGTTTCTGCTGGACCCCTCAATTGGATACAGCTTCATGGAAGTAGAGTGTGTATTACTGTTGTTACTAAGTGTCGCCGAGTCAGTTCCAAATCATAGCAACCCAGTAGAGGGTTTCCAGGAGCGGCTGGTAAGTTTGAACCACCGACTTTGCAGCCCTGTGCTTATCCTACCCAGGACTGAACAATGTACAATGGATGTACTGCAGTCATTTTAAGGGTTCAGTGGGATCTGAGCAACACACACCCATGGTGCTTAACACACAGTGACAGTTAAGAGCCCACGACCCCAGAGGGTCCCCTGTGACCCTTCCCAGTCAGTCACTCCATCTCCACCAGAGCCAAACCAACAACAGGTTTGCTTTCTGCCACTGTGGAGTTCATGTTGCGCTTTAGGGCTGCATGCGGGCTCATCTGTCAAGACTCGTCCTGCTGGCTCAGTGCTGCTCCTCTCGGTGGGCTTCCATCCCCCGACGGGTGGGACCAGGGTTTCAGCTTCTGCCTGTTGGGAGTGAAGGTGCTAGGGACACTTGACTACCACTCTTCTTTCAGTTTGTCGTTCTGTGGTGGCTTACATGTCGCTGTGATTCTAGAAGCTGTGCCATGGGTCACCCATGGTGGACAGGTTTCAGATGAGCTTCCAGATGAAGACAGACTAAGAAGAAGAGATGGACCAATTCCCAATATTTAGTAACTGAAAACCTTATGACGAGCACTGGATAGCATCAGAATATCGAATACTGAAACATGATGAAGAGCACCAGAACATTGTTAGAGATAGTGCTGAAAGATGAGCCCCTCAGTTTGGAAGGCACTCAAAATCCAACTGGGGAAGAGCTGCCTCCTCAAAGTCAAGTTGACCGTGATGATGCGCATGGAGTAAAGCTTCAGGACCTTCAATACAAAATTAAGAGACACAGCTATAAACATCCGTTAATCATCTGAACATGGAATGTATGAAGTATGAATCTTGGAAAATTGAAAGTTGTCAAAAATGAAATGGAACGCATGAACATCGATATATCCTAGGCATTAGTGAACTGAGATGGACTTGTATTGGCCATTTTGAATCTGATAATCACATGTTGGGAATGACATGTTGGGAATGACAAATTGAAGAGGAATTGTGTCACATTCATCATCAAAAGGAACATATCAAGATCTGTCATGAAGTACAATGCTGCCTGCAATAGGATAATATCCATATGCCTGCAAGGAAGACCACTTAATACCACTATCATTTAAATTTACGCACCAACCACTAAAGCCAGTGAGGATGAAATAGAAGAATTTTACCAACTTCTTCAGTCTGAAATTGATCAAACATGCAATCAAGATGTATTCATAAGTACTGGCGATTGGAATGCAAAGGTTGGAAACAAAGAGGAAGGATCAGTTGTTAGAAAATATGGTTTGGCTGACAGAAATGATGCTGGAGATCATGTGGTAGAATTTTGCAAGACCAATGACTTAATTATTGTACATACCTTTTTTTAAGCAACATAAAAGACAGCTATACACATGGACCTCACCAGATTGAATACACAGAAATCAAATTGACTACATCTGTGAAAGAGATGATGGAAAAGTCCCATATCATCAGCCAAAACAAGGTCAGGGGCAGGCTGTGGAACAGGCCATCAATTGCTTATATGCAAATTTAGGCTGAGGCTGAAGTAAATGAAAGCAAATACATGAGAGCCAAAATATGACTTTGAACATATCCTTCCTGAATTTAGAGATCTTCCCAGGAGCAGATTTGATGCATTAGATGCTAAAGACTGAAGACCAGAACAGTTGTGGGATGACATCAAGAACATCATACAGGAAAAAAGCAAAAGGTCATTAAGAAGGCAAGAAAGAAGGAAAAGACCAAAATGAGTGTCTGAAGAGACTCTGAGACTTGCTCTCCAGTGTAGAGATGCTGAAACAAATGGAAGAAATGAGGTAGTAAAAGAGCTGAACAGGAAATTTCAACAGTCTACACGAGAAGCCAAAGTCAAATATTGTAACAAAATGTGCAATGACCTGGAGTTAGAAAGCCAAAAAGAACACACTAAGCATTTTTCAAGCTGAAACAATTGAAGAAGAAATTTAAGCCTCGGCTTGCAATATTGAAAGATTGTATAGGCAAAATATTGCATGATGCAGGAACCATCAAAAGAAGATGGAAGGATTATACAG